GCAAAAGACACCCGACCAACACACAAATACCCTTTTTGAGCTCGAAATATAAACGAGCCGCTCAGCTCGTGTTCGGTCGTTTACACCCCTAACAGTTATGCTCCAATCCTTCATATCGTTGGATTTCTCTTTCTAAATTCTACCAGTTCGCAAGAAAGACGAATCTAAAATTCTTTGTGGCCATTGGAAAAAGTGATAATATGAATTATTATTTTAAATTACTATTTGTTAAATTCAATTACTAAATAATCCTTTTTAAAATTAAGTACATACCACTTAAATTTGCTTTCTTCTTTAATATAATAGTCCTTGGTGGACTATCTACTCTTGATGTAAACCACACAGTAATTGAATGAAACAACTTAACATCTCTGAAAATAAAATTAATTTTATTGTCTCTCGATTGCAACATGTCAGCCTTAAAATTTTTTTATTTCCACAAATATTGACATGAAATGCATCATTTTTTATGAAAATAAAAAGAAAAGAATAGTCTCAGCTAATCGAAAAAATATTACATCAGGACTCCGAACGTAGAGCTACGTTCAGATTGCAATAGTCGGTGTGTTTTAGGAGTATATCGCTGTGTTATAGAAATATTCCATCAGCGTTATTTGTAGAAAATGAAGTGTTATTGGAATATTTTCCCGCGTTATTTGATTTGGGGCTGATTCCAATAACATAGTGGAAATTGAAATAACACAGGGAATATGCCGAATAACACAACCCCAAATCAAGTAACACAAGAGAATATTCCAATAACACCGCAAAATAATCGAAGAACATCATATAGTACTCTAATAACACATCATTTTTACAAATAACGCAGATGAAATATTCCAATAACACGTAATTATTTAATAAAAATTCCCATCATAATTTTATGTTGTTCTCATAAAAAAAATATACGAAACTTTTAATTGTTTTAAATGAACAAAATTGTTTTCTATAAAACATCAATACGACAGTATAGTTCACCTACCGTATTAACGATACCTTCCTACAATAAGTTTCTGATATCAACTTCTCATCTGCCTTATTGAAAGAAACAGCAAGCCCAAGCTGTCTCCCTTATTTGCTTTGAAATTGCTTCTAAACTATTACTTCTAATACAACAGCAAGCACAAATCAATGTCTCCTAAATTTGCTTTTGAAGTTAATTTCAACAAAATCATTTAAATTTCTTCTAAAAAACTTAATTTTTGAGAAAAAGTGCAATAAAAAATTTCTCAAGTCGAATACTACTTCAGTCTTTTTAGACAAACAATTATGGTTCCACAAAACACTCACAATTTATTATCATACGCCAATACACTTGAATGTGTGGGGAGAAGTTTTTTGAGGGCCGCCTCATTCGGTACTTGATCAATAAGTTGAGGCCTTCAATAGCAACACATCTCTTTATGATAATAATCAAAGAAGTTATCATATATTATGAAAGAAGAATTTAATCATAAAATTTTAACAAAAAGTTCAATGATTCTTAACAATTAAACAATTGACAGAAATATTGTTTAATTTTCAACTCATCATGCATCAACCACTTATAATCTATTAGAAAAGGAAGCTTATAGGCACACACATTCATAAATATATTATTTTAATATTCATTCATAAAGAAGAATTTACTAAAAAAAATTCAAATTCATCATATATTACAACTCTATACATTACAAGACATAAAAGATGAAGTTAGAATCAAGTAGTTAAAGAAAGTTTTTCTAAAAGTTAATAAACCTGAGGGTTAAGAGAATGGGACAGAACCAGGACTATTCTTAAGCTTTACATGAACACGGAGAGCTTCTCACAAGTTATATATATATATATATATA